ATCAAAAAACGCAACACACTTTTGATCTCCTATCACTATCAAGAATTAACGTGAAACATAAAAATCGAATAAAACAGCAAGAAAAAGGTGATCTTCCATTTAATTCCACTTAAGACTGCACATTGTAGTCGAAATACGTATCTGCCATGGATACCAAAATTAATTAAGTGAAATTAAATGGAAGATAACCCTTTTTTGCTGTTTTATTTGAGCATTCCACTCGAATCGAATCGAAGTTTTACGATTCGATGGATTAGCGGAACATGATCGAAGTTGAAAGAACTTAATAGAAACTACCGAAACTTCAGAGAAGTTCATGGAACTTGAGAGAAGTTCACGGAACTCTTGGCAAGTTCACGGAATATGAAGAAAGACCACGAAACTCTTCAGAGAAGTTCACGGAACTTCAGAGAAGTTCACGGAACTTCAGAGAAGTTCACGGAACTTCAGAGAAGTTCACGGAACTTCAGAGAAGTTCACGGAACTTCAGAGAAGTTCACGGAACTTCAGAGAAGTTCACGGAACTTCAGAGAAGTTCACGGAACTTCAGAGAAGTTCACGGAACTTCAGAGAAGTTCACGGAACTTCAGAGAAGTTCACGGAACTTCAGAGAAGTTCACGGAACTTCAGAGAAGTTCACGGAACTTCAGAGAAGTTCACGGAACTTCAGAGAAGTTCACGGAACTTCAGAGAAGTTCACGGAACTTCAGAGAAGTTCACGGAACTTCAGAGAAGTTCACGGAACTTCAGAGAAGTTCACGGAACTTCAGAGAAGTTCACGGAACTTCAGAGAAGTTCACGGAACTTCAGAGAAGTTCACGGAACTTCAGAGAAGTTCACGGAACTTCAGAGAAGTTCACGGAACTTCAGAGAAGTTCACGGAACTTCAGAGAAGTTCACGGAACTTCAGAGAAGTTCACGGAACTTCAGAGAAGTTCACGGAACTTCAGAGAAGTTCACGGAACTTCAGAGAAGTTCACGAAACTTCAGAGAAGTTCACGGAACTTCAGAGAAGTTCACGGAACTTCAGAGAAGTTCACGGAACTTCAGAGAAGTTCACGGAACTTCAGAGAAGTTCACGGAACTTCAGAGAAGTTCACGGAGCTTCAGAGAAGTTCACGGAACTTCAGAGAAGTTCACAGAACTTCAGAGAAGTTCACAGAACTTCAGAGAAGTTCACGGAGCTAGAAAGAAGTTTACGAAAATTCATAGAGAAATCTATGCAACTTTAAAGAAGGACTAGAGAGAAGTTTGCAACATGCGATAGAGAAGTTCACAGTCGAGAGAAGTACAAAGAACTGCATAGATATAGATAAATTCACGGAACATCAGAGAGGAGTACACGGCACTTCTTAAACATTTTTTATAACTTCGGTCATTCGTGACTTGTCCCCCCTTCCCCCTATAAAGTAATACACAGAACTTCATAGAAAAGTTCACAGAACATCAAAAATGTTAACAGAACATCATTGAAAAGTTCACGGAACTTCATAGAGAATTTCACGGACATTTTTAGCGAAGTTCACAGAACTTCATAGGGAAGTTCATGAAACTTTATAGAGAAGTTCATCAAACTTCATGAAGAAGATCATCGAACTTCGTAGAGATGTTCACGGAGCTGGGTAGAGAAATTCACGGAACTTCTTAGAGAAAAATCCCAGTTCTACGGAGAGAAGTTTAAGGAAGTTCATTGAAAAGTTCAAGAAACATCTGGGAAGTTCACGGATCTTTAGAGAGAAGTTCACGGAACTCGAGATAATTTTACGGAACGTGACAGAAGTTAATGGAACTTAATAAAAATTCCAGGAACTTCAAAAAGAAGTGCATGGAACATGAGAGAAGTTCAAGAATATCGAGAGAAGTTCACAGAACTTCATAGGGATGCTCGCAGAACTTCAATAAGAAGATCACGGAACTCCATAGAGTACTTAACGGAACTTTAGACAGCAGCACTGAAATTTCCAAAACTTCATCGCGAAAGTCATGGAAAATGAGAGAAGGACAACGAACTCGAGAGAAGTTCACGGAACGTCGAAGAGAAGTACATAGAACTTCATAGAGAAGATCACGGAACTGCATAAACATTTTTTTATAACACTCTTGGGTCATTCATGACTTGTTCGAGGTTGAGATTTGAACTCGTGACTTTGGCGTGAGAGGTATGAATGTTAACCACTCCGGCGTAGTTCCCCCTTTATAAAGAAGTTTACAGAGCTTAATAAATATGTTCACAGAAGATAATCGAGAAGTTCAAAGAGGTTCATAGAGAAGTTCACAGAACTTCATAGAAGTGATCACAGAATTTCATAGAAAAGTTCACAGAACATCATAGAAAAGTAGACTCACAGAGCTTCATAGATAAAAATCCCAGATCTACGTTGAGAAGTTTCCGGAATTTCATTGAGAAGTTCACGAAATTTCTGGGAAGTTCTCGGATCTTTAGAGAGAAGTTCACGGAACATGAGATAATTTTGCGGAACGTGACAGAAGTTCAAGGATCTCGAGAGATGTTCGTAGAGCTTCATTAAGAAGATCATGCAACTTCATAAAGAAGTTTACGGAACGTGAAAGAAATACATAAAACTTAACTGAAACTTCATTAAGAGATGAACTAGCCTATGGCTAAAAATCTCTATAATAAAGTATCAAAAAAAAAATGAAATTTCATAGAGAAAGTCATGGAAGATGAGAAAAGTACAACGAACTCTAGATAAGTTCACGGAATAGCGGTGCAGGTGGTGTAGTGGTAAGCGTGATTACCTCTCACCCCAGCAGGCCTGGGTTTAATCCCAGTTGGCACCGTCGGGATGTTCTGATGCATAACATCTCTGATCACGCCTTCCCGAAGGTTTATCTGGTTTTACCTGGTGTCTCACTTTCAGGCAGGTGCTTCCAAAAATTTAATATTTTGTAATCGTAAAATTGAACATATTTGTAGTTCTTTGGCGAACATTTCAGCTCAATTGATCATAAGCTAACAAAGTAACATCATGTCAAAGTTGACCATTCTGTATGAAAATCGGCATGCGCTGCTATTTTATCGAACACAGCTGTAGATGGTTACATTTCTCCAGTTCGAAGGAAATCTCAAGCCTTCCTCTTGTTTGAGCCCATCACCGCCCGCACAGTGGAAACGGACACGGAATCAGCGCATTTCTTCCATTTTGCCCGCATTTGCTAGGTGTCCTTGACTGCCCCGCCGCTTCGTCGAAGTCGCTGCTTTGAAATTGCCCAGTATTTTTCGATTGGTCGAAATTCCGGGCAATTCGGAGAATTCATAAGTTTGGGGACAAAATCGATCTTGTTGGCAGCATACCACTCCAGAACCACCTTGGAGTATTGGCAACTGACCAAATCGGGCCAAAAAATGACCTTGACCCTATGCTTGCGGATGAACGGCAATACACGCTTTTCAGGCATTCTTCGATGTAAACTTGGGATGTCATCGTCGAGGATGTGACGAATGGTTCCGTTTTCAGGCCACAACTGCACATCGCTTGCCAAATCATGGCCTTCTTCGCGAACTTGTCAGCAAACACGAACTTGAATCTTCCCGGCACATCCCCACGTCCAGTCGCGATGTAAAACTTTTGACCGGGAAGCTGATAAAATTCGAGTTTGACGAATGTTTCGTCATCGATCAAATTGCAGCCCTTGTGTTTCGGCAAAACACAGTCACGGAATTCTGCTTCATGGGCTGGTTCGAATCTTTACTGGCTTTGTACGACTTGTATCCTTCCGATGGATGTTCAGCACCATTTTAAAATTGGCGTTGTACCTTCTGGCCACATCTCGGGATCGAAAGACCGGGGTTGGCTATAAAATACCTCAACACCTTGCTGCGCAGCTGACGATCCCTGGTTCCAATTTTTTCGTAGGTCCGCTGATTCCTTTCCACACTCAGGGTTTCCTAGTAGGTTTTGAGCACTCGAAAAACTGTTCTTTTCGGCATCTTCAGCAATTTAGTCAGCTTGGAACCGGACTACTCTAGACTTTCCAGGTGTTTGTGCACAATATTTTTTCTTCTTTCGATTGTCATTTGACGTTATTTCAAGACCAACAATTGAAAAGGCCTTAACTCCATTTTGTAAACAAACATTGTAAGGCTATTTTGTCGCGAACAGAAACCTACATTCGCAAACCTATAACACAATCGGGTAGAGGAGAATTTCCCCTACCTGTTCATTTTGTTGGTTTGCGTTGGCGGACTTCAGTTCGCGGCAAAATGGCCTTGCAAGGTTTGTTTACAAAATAGAGTTGAGGCCTTTTCAATTGTTGGTCTTGATTTCTGAACGCGATCGTCGACTACTTTGATCAAACTTGCACCAGTTGTTACCATAAAGATTTGCGGTCTTCGACAAAGTTATTCTAAATCCCATGTATGGGCTACATTGAGCAATGCTCAGAGCAATGTGTAAATTTTTGACATGCAAATGTGTAATTTCTTTCCGGTTACTATACATTTTCCCATACCGATTTTAAAATGCTCCTGCAAAAGCAAATAACACCCAAATTGATTGCAATATGGCACAGTTGTTGTTGATATCGAAAAAGCAGTGGGGAACAGGTAGTTGATTAGATGACCCACCCTAATATATACACTCTTGCGCCTACCCGAAGTACAAATGCATGCAATCCAGCTTCATAGCAACCACAAAAACAAGCAGCGTTCGTTGTTTGAAGGAACTGAACTCAAACAAACAAACACTGCAACAAGGCTCAGTCTGGAGTTAATCGTCTATTTGAAAAGTACTAAAAACTGCAAAAGAGTCATCATTCATCATGACATCGAACCATCTTAAAACTTATTTGCTGGAGCCCAATGCAAACCTCCGGCCTCTATTCTATGAAATCATTAAACAGTGCGAACGAAAGAATATTCGGTACGATAAGCACTTGGTGACCTTTATCATGAATCTGGTTAGTTTGGATCCGAAATTCGAAATCTATATGGAAACACTGAGTGCAGACCGGAAAAATCATGACGATTTCGTGGAGGAATGTGTTCGACGATTGGCAGGTAGGGCAAGATGTTTAAAAAAGTTTCAAACATTTTATTTATCTGTTAATTGCAGAGGACCACCGGCTTTGATAACACTCAAAATGCAGCTGTACTTTCTGGAAAATTTCTTCAACCGGGATGAAGTCGTGGATAAGCATACCAGGAATTTACAACACAAAACGGCTCATCTACTGAAGGAAATAACCGAGAACGACGTTATCACCAAGGACGAACAGGAGGAAATTTTCAACAAAATCATCATCGATATCGTGCTGCACATGGGCCTGGGTAGTCCGGACAACAAGGACGTTATTAACGAAACAATGAAGGCATTGAACTCCGTCATGTCCCGAAGCGATAAAGCCAAGTTCGTTACCCTAGACAGGAAGGACCGACTGTTAGCACTGAAGGATATACGGGAAATTGTTTGCGGAATTCGCATTTTCAACAAACATGCTGGCAATTCCACTAACGGAATGTCGGATCGTGAGTGGTTGAATGTTGATATTTGATAACGAACTATGTATGTACAACAAATTTCATTATTCCTTTTTAATCAGTTCCAAGAGTGCTGGATCAATCGCACGAATCCACCAAATCCATTCTGCAGATTACTCTCTGCGAAATAATGGATAAGGTCAACCTTCTTACCAGTGCACTGAATTCTTCCATTGCGTACGACTTGAGGAACCGTACAATAGTGACGCTTCTACCGGAAAACATCTCAGCAGACGACTTGGACAACCTTAAGGACCTTCTGGTGATGTATCGACAGCACGAAGTATACACGCGGAAGCTGATTGACGAACTAGCTCTGATTAAATTCAACATTGACACCTGCAGCCAGGAATACAACTCAAAGCTAGTCAAGATTCACGAATCGGTACAATATCGTACTGCCATTCCAACGGATAGAGTTTTTGTATGCCCTTAAATACTGTCCAATTTTGTCACGTTTAATATTTTAAGTGTTCCATTCAATTCAGCCAAAATTCTCCGAACTGACTCGAATATGGTTGCAGTTCCAAAACTACATCTATCTGCTTTCCGAAATCAATCAGATTAGTAACACGCTGACCAATCTCACGGAACGATGTCTGAGTTTCGACGATTTAGCGTATCGATTGTTGGGTGAGTGTCAGATCCACACCGATGTCGACAGGCTGAACAAAACGAAAGGCAAGCGGCTGCTTATGAGTGTTGAAAATGCATGTGAAGTCGTTCCCTACTCGTCGACAATGAAAGTAGGTTTCAGGATCAGCACGTTATTGGTTTGTTATATTACGATACCGAACACGGATTTATTGCAGGTTGAATTGTTGAAGTTTTGCGTATGGCATTTGGCGGAGGCTAATGGAGTGCTCATGCCTGGCAACACCGAAATGGGAGTATGCCAATATCAGAAGGATTTCTATGCATTCAACATTCCTGAGGCAGCGATTTTCTTCGATGAGGATCCCGATAAGTGAGTAAATCTTTCAGTTCGAACAAGTGTTTTATAGTCAATCCATTAAGAGTTCACAATTCACCGACACAATTGACTTGCACTACTACTTAAAATTTTCTAGGGAGTAAATCTCGGACACTATTACGATTTCATGCATGAAGCAGTTTTGTTATTGTATGTTTTCTGGTAGCTGAGGAGCAAATGGAAGCCACATTAATCAATTCGTCAATGTGACACATTTCGTCGAGAGCGTTTCGAAATAGAGGGAGATGATGACTATGTGCCATTAGGCTTAATTAAGGCAATTTAAGCCTTTAAATCAAAATTTGAGAAATCATGCATGTTTCCTTATCCAATATCAGAATTATTCTAATTTAAAAAAAAAACACGGCAATTAAAAGAAGAGTTCTATATAGAGCTGGAATGAGGGCGTAACAGCCTTTGTACCGTATGCGTGATAATGTTTGCACCTGGGAGGGAGAAGCAGATAGCACACACGGAATTCATTGCATACTAGTTCTACTTTATTTATTTATTTGTCGTCAATCAGTGTAGACCGTTTTACAATTGTTGTCTTAAGTGCTATTTTTACAATTTTGTCTTTGTTTATATTTTTTATAATATGTCTTAAGAAAAGGTTAAAACATACTTCTAGTTGACGTTATGCGTCGAATTAAAATATTGCTTTAATTTAGTTTTTGTCATTGTAAAGTCAATGTTATCGCAGTGCTTATTATATGTATCCATCATTTGGTTCAAGGGTCCAAATTTGGCATAATTCGTACGATGACGATTTGTAGCAAATATATTTCTATTTCGTAAATGCCTAGATGGTGTATATAAATTTAAGGATGACAATAGTTCTATTGAATCAATTCGATGTGATACGATATCGTTTACGAAAGAAATCATAGCAAATTCACGACGTTCTTTTAATGTTTGGATATTTATGAGCATACACCGAGCTGTGTAAGATGGCAGAGGAAATACAGTCCAACCTAACTTGCGGAGTGCATACAATAGAAACTGCTTTTGAACGGACTCTATTCTTTCTTCGTGTGTGATTGAAAAAGGTGACCAAACTATGCTGCAATATTCTAATATCGATCTTACATAAGCAATGTACAATGTTTTTATCGTATACGGATCGTGAAAGTTATAGCAGAAACGTTTTATGAAACCAAGCATGTTGTTAGCTCTGTTAATAATTGTGTTATAATGATCGGTGAAAGTAAGTTTTGAGTCCAAAATAACACCTAGATCCCTGACTCTATCACATTTTTCTACGATCTGGTTTCCTAAAGTGACTGTTATATCAGGTAGCTTTTGTTTTCTACTAATGGTAATGGAGTTACATTTTTTTATATTTAATTGTAGCAGGCTTTTTTGACACCAAATATGGAATATTTGAATTTCCTCTTTGAATGTGATGATGTCTTTGGCATCTTTTATTTCCAAAAAAAGTTTAATGTCGTCAGCATATATTAAAACTTTCAATTTCTTAATAATGAAAGATATGTCATTGACGAAGAGAATAAATAAAAGTGGTCCTAAATGGGAGCCTTGAGGAACTCCTGAAGTGACATCAACGGGATTTGATATCTTTCCTTTGTATTTTACTATTTGATGACGGTCAGTTAAATATGATTCAAGCCACTTGAGGAGTGCGTAATGAATTCCCATTTTTTGAAGTTTAAAAAGAAGCATGGGTATGTCAATTCGATCAAACGCTTTGCTGAAATCTGTATACAACACTTCTACATAGTTTCCGTTATCCATTGCATTCAAGGAATAGTTAATTAATTCGAGCAAATTCGTAGTTGTTGAACGGCCTTTAAAGAAGCCATGTTGCATAGTAGTTATTCTGTTTTTAATTTGAAGAAAGAGTTTTTCATTTACAATCGCCTCGAAAAGTTTCGGAATGCAAGAGATAATAGCTATACCACGATAATTACGTATGTCGGATTTTTTACCCGATTTAAAGATAGGCACTAAAAACGAGTTTTTCCATATTTTAGGGAAGTTTCCGGATTCCAGTGACATATTGAAAATCCAAAATAATGGAGCAGTAAGTTCAATTGCTAAAGTTTTCATAAAAACTGGCGGAACACCGTCAGGGCCAGGACCTTTAGAAGCATCTAAATTGTTTAAACCCTTTAAGATATCATGAACCTTGATTTGACTTACGCTGATGTCACTTGAAAATTCTGGATATGATTCAAAATATTCACGGTCACGGTCCTCTTCTGAAAACGTAGTATATATTTCTTGGAAGAAATTTGCAAACAAATTGCATATATCATCCGAGTTCTCACCTATCCTATCGTCCAAATGCATCTTTGAGGGAAAATTATCAGATTTTAATTTGGTTTTCACATAATTGAAGAAGTTTCTAGGACAAGATTTTATTTCAAGTTCAGTTTTTAAATTATACTCCTCAAATGCCATATTCACGGCCAAATTTAACTGATCGCAAATGTCTAAATAGTATGCCAAAGTTTCTTCATTATTATATTTTTTATAAAATTTGTGGGCTTTTTGCTTTCGATTTTTTAAATTTTTCAGTTCCCTGTTGTACCAAACTGGATGTTTTGCATGACTCGGACGTCTTCTTCTTTTAGTTGGCACTTCTTCAAGAATTATTTCAAGCAACACATTGTAGAATACGTCAACTGCACATTCAACATTTCCTGCAGTTCTTAATGTTGCTTGCCAACCGACAATGTTCAATCTATTTCTAATGTTATCATAATTTGCTGAATTGTAATCAAAGATTTCATCAAATTCGCAGTCGTTGGTTCTTTCATTTATGTGAACGAATAGAGAATACTCTATTGCTGTGTGAAACATTTCATTTCTCCATATGGGACTTAACGATTCAGTCACACAGAAATCTTCATAAGTCATGAAAATTTATGCCGTTGAAATCAAATCAAAAAAGGTGTAGTAAAATCGCGTGTTTTGCTTTGAGCGTGTTGTGATTGTTTGAGATTATTCAGCGTGCAGTGAGAAACTGTACTTTTCTGTTTGGCCCAGTACGGAAGATGTTCCTGAAACCACTTCTAAGTGCGGTTGAAGGTGTGGCACGGAGCCCCATCTTGTTGAAATACAACATTTGGCTTCGGACCGTACTGTTCTTTGATCCACAGAAAAACATACTTACTTAAAATCCCGAGGTAGACCTCCTTGTTGACCTTGTCGCCTTCTAGAATGAACACCGGGTCCATTTTTTTTTTTGCCATCGGAAGCCACCAATCAAAACACCATAACGCCAGCAGGATGCTTGGTCAGATACACGTTCTTGTGCTCGTCGGTCACGTCTTTTACTGGAAGAGAACTAATATACCGGTCGGTTCTGGAATTTGATACGGGATCGACGGTAAACATGCTCTCGTCGGTGAACAGGCTCCCTGATGCGGTTGGTAATCATGTGAGTTTTTTTTCCGTGCCCTCGACTTCACCCTGCAATCTTCCTTTACGATCTTCCGTGCCGTAAAGTCACTGATCCCGTGTTCCTTTGCCATTTTCCTTATTGCACTGAATTCACCCGAATCTTTCTTTTGATAGCAATGATAACCCTCGGAAACCGAGCTCACCTCGGGCAACCTGTAACCACCTTCGCGGATAGTTGTCCTTTCTTTTCTCGGTCTAAAACCCTTTTGACGGTCCACCGGGACACTCCCACGGCGATTGAAATGTCGTTTTACGACATTTGCGCGTTAAACTAATCACGAATACGCTGCCACTTCGTCATGATGCAACTGTCAAACTAAGTAAATCATTTTCTTTTATTCACAGCCTACTACGGTATGAGCTAAAGGTTACGTGCATGCAAAGAAAACCAAGGCATTGTATGCACAATCGAAACGGGAACCTTATTTGTACGATGGTGCAAACATTATCACGCATACGGTAAACAATGACTTCTCTCGATGATTTCTAGGAATTCAAGGCACGCCTACATAAAGCAACATATCCATCGAGTAGGGAAAGTCTTACCCTACTCGATGATGATGTCTATTTGCCAGGGAGAGCCATGGCTTTCAAGAAATCATCGAGAGAAGTCATTGTTTACAAAAGCTGTTTCGCCCTAATTCCAGCTCTATCAAGAGCAGAGGTGGCAACAGTACATTTTTTGAAAAACCATCGTCCAGAGCGAAACAAAACAGCCAGCACACGGGCAACCGTTTATAACTACATTCCAAGCGAACAGCGGAGATAGAGAATAAATAAAATCTCGCAGCCTGATTTTTCCAAACAGTTTATTGTAATGAAATTTTAGCTGCAGGCTTGCGTGTGACAGTAAATTACCAACTCCCTTATTTACGCATAATTTTAACATCAATGCTTATGAGTGGTCAGTCTTCATTCTTATCTTTTAATTCCATGCAATAAACATCAAATAAATGCAGTAATTAGCCAGAAATCAGCAAAATTCTACACGACATAAATTTATGTCACGCGCGCCACCGGTCTTGTCTGCTTCTTTGTGCGAAAATGTTCTGTCGCTGGCAGAAAACAGTTTAGAAATGTCATGACATTTTTGCCGCTTGCCAGTTTGTTTTTGTGTGTCGTCAAAATGGTTATCGCAAAAAGTATCAAATGTTAAGGAAAAAATGTTAAACTCCAGGACTCGTGCCACCACTGATCAAGAGTTTGGCGATTCCAGGCCAAATGACGAATCACAATTTTTTGTTATTTTCATCATTTCGTTTGCCAGTCTCGGTAGAAAAGTCACCATGCTGTATTTTCAAGCTTCTCAGATATCTTTGTATAGGAAATGCTAGTTCAATGGAACTATATATTCTATACTTTCATCCAGTGGCGCGCTCACTTTTTACCTGTACGCCAACTTTCAAACCCAGATTGAATGCCATATTCATACTCGAATCGGTTGATCCATTGCAAGCAATATTTTGATAATTGTTTATGTTTTGAGAGTTGGTGCACAAGTAGATTGAGGTTAAGGTTTTTTTTTTTTTTTTTTCTTTATTTAAGAGATTTTTAGCCTTAGGCTAGTTTATCTCTAATTGAGGTTAAGGAAAATACACTTGTATGAGCATTATTTGTATATCAAATTATGAGTAAATCGATGGTCACACTTGTATAATGACCACCCGGAGCTAATGACCAACTTATATTAAAAAAAACACCATTTTACTACATTCCATATAGTTCCCGAGAAGAATTAAGGCCTACTTTAATGAAAAACTAAAAACTACGTAGCAATAAATTTTACAGATGTTTCGGATTTTCCGGCGGGCCATCTGATTACCGCTTAGATTAAATGACCAGCTAATATATCAATATTCACCATTTTACTACATTTCATATAGTTGCATATATAAATCAGGGCCTACTTGATCAAATTTACAAAGCAGTGAATTTTACTGATGTTCCGGATCTTCCGGCGGACCATCTGGTGACCACTGGGAGCCAATAACCAGCCAATATATAAAAAAATCACAATAAGAATAATCAAGGCATACTTTGATCAAAGATACATCATAATCAAGATTAAGGTTGATCCATGTCACGGAAGGCCTTCCAGTGGACACTCAGTATTTAGAATCAGATTGTGTGTTTTGTTAAAATATGAACACTCCGAATACGGTGGGTAAAAAACTTTACGCCGACTACAAAGCCTCCGAAAAACGTGTAACGGCAAGTTTGCAATGACATAGCTTAGCCATTTCTAGATGAATTTCAAAAATTGTAGTACGTCTAGAATTCCTAGGGTCTATAGATTCTGTTTAAGGGAAACAGATTGAAAATAGGGTCGTCTACATTTTTTTGACGTAGGACTCCGTCTGTGATTTCTATATGGGGGTACACTTTGTGAAAACCGAAAATGGAATATGTAACCAAATTATGAACGATTTTGAACGTTAATAACTCAGTTGCTCCTGGGCCAATTTCTATGATTTTATCACCAATCGATCAGAAATATTTTTACGCATCTGATAAATTTAAGATTTTATTATTTTTGTCAAATGTCACTATTGTAAATTGCACGAAAATTCAACTGTTGCTATGATAATTTAAATTATCACCGATTTCCCTAACACAGATTTCAAAGTTGAATTTCATTCGGTCTCACCAAACGGTGTTTATTCGATCACCGCGTGGGGAGTGGAGGTGTTCTCCAGTACACAACGAAATGCTCCCGCAAGCAGCTAGCTATCAAGGCTGCCCTCAACCGCTGATCGGATTCAGTTCCAATCACCGTGTGTACGGTCGTCGGCATCAGCAGCACCAGCAGCAGTGCTTTCGGCGCGTAGCGTTGAACATTGCTCTCCAACACAACGAAAAGCTGCAGCCCACATGAGCAGCCATAGAAGGAGGAAGAAACCACACCGCTATTGATCGGAATCAGTAGCTCTTCTTGAGCCACTGTGGGCCATCTATGCCAAGCGCGTCATACGAAAGAGTATAAACAGAGAGAACCCCGCTCAAATTCCTATTCCTATACACAACACAAGCTCCTGCTGCAGTTAACAAATAAGATTTATTATATAAGACCACGTAGTCCTACGTCACCATTACGTACAACCCCATAGGGCTGTCCCTTGTAATTTTTAAAGAGGAAAGAGTCGTTACACTTTTTTTTAAAGTGTGTTTAAGTTTTTTTTAGCTCCGTGTTTTTTAAATATTATGAATTGTGATATATGAAAGAATTTGGGGAGGGGACATTAACATGGACCCGGATGGCCATGGAATCGTTCTCCGGAAGATCTGAAACATCCGTAAAAGGGGTAAATCCATGAAACTGTTCCTATATCACCGCGTTTTTTCGAAAACACTTGGAACTGAGATGATAGAGAATTTGAGGTCGTGACATAAACATGGATCAGGTTGGCCATGAGACCGGTCCTCCTGAATTTCCGGATCATCCGTTAAAGTGGTCAATTCATGAAACTGATCCTAGAGCTGCGTAGTTTTTGAAAAATTTTAGGAACTGTGATGATGGAATGAATTTGGGGTCGTACCATAAACATGGACCCTGATGGCCATGGGACCGTTCTCCGGAATATCCGGAACATCCGTAAAAGACAATCCACGAAACTGATCCTAGAGCTCCGTGTTTTTTTTTTTAACATTAAGAACTGTGATATAAGATAGAATTTGGGATCGTGCCATATACATGGATCCAGATGGCCATCGGGCCGTCCTCCGAGAAATCCGGAACATCCGTAAAAGGAATCAATCTATGAAACTGATCCTAGAGCTCTGCGGTTTTTCGAAAATACTTGACACTGTCATATATAAATTAATAGGGGGTTGTAACATAAACATGTACCTAGAAGACCATCGGACCTCCGGAAGATCTGGAACATCCTTAAAAATGGTCAATCCACAAAACTGATCCTAGCGCTCCACGGTTTTTTCGAAAGAATTTGGAACTGTGTTATAAGAAAGAATTTGGGGTCATGACATAATCATAAACCTGAATGGCCATGGGACCATCGTCTGGAAGATCTGGAACATCCGAAAAATGATCAATCCATAAAACTGATCCGAGAGTTCCACGGTTTTTTTTTCAAAAACATGTGGAACTGTGTTATAAGAAATAATTTGGGTTCGTAACATAAGCATGGACCTGAATGACCATGGGACCGTTCTCCGAAAGATCCGTAAAAGTGGTCCAGCCATGATACTGATTCTAGAGCTCCGCAGTTTTTTTTTTTTTTTTGTTCGAAAACATTTCGAACTGAGATATATAAATGAATTTGGAGTCGTGACATAAACATGGACTTGGATGGTCATTAATGACGGACGGAAGATCTGTAAAAGTAGTTCATCTATAACACTGTGAAAAAACGCGTTTTTTCGAAAACTCTTGGAGCTGTGATTTAAGAAAGAATTTAAGGTCGTGGCATAAACATGATCCCAGATGGCCATAGGCCTTCCAAAAGATCCGGAACAACCATAAATTGGTAAATCTGTGAAAATGATCCTAGAGCTCTGCAGTTTATTTTTAAACACTTTGAACTGTGATATAAGAAAGAATTTTGGGTCGTGACTCGTAATTATTGGCCCGGATGGCATCAGCCAATCAACGATCTTATTTATACGAAATTCATCGCTATTCTTGTGTACAAAGACTTCAGCTTCAGCTGAGGATTTCAAAATGCCTGAAGCTTAGCCAAAAATCTTGAATTGAACCAGCTAACTTAACTGCTTATGTGTGTCCATGCACATTTAGCAATACAGTTGTATTCGTGCAACCTGGTGGTGTGGAGATCTAGCCCTCACGTAATTATGTGTTGGTAGAGGGAAAAATATAAACATTTCAGAAGACGATTAAAAAAAACCTGGTCTAGTATCAGTTTTATAGATTTACCACCTATACGAATATTCCGGATTTTCTAGAGGACGGTCCCTTGGTCATCCGGGTTCATGTTTATGTCGCTATTATCAATTCTATCTTATATCACATTTTTTTGATTTTCACCATACAAACTTCAAGCCGTTTGAGCGAGGGGTTCCCGTGAACCAAATTACTTCAATTTTTGGCAGGGCTTTTAAGACCCCCCAAACTATCATTCCAGGGGGCAGCGTCTGAAATTCCAGGATTGATCTATTTTGAAACACTCTAATATGCAGATATACATTATACATGGAACTATTTTGTGAATAACTACAGTGTATGTGTTCTGAATCAACTGTATAAGAAAATCCTATCCATTCCACAGATACATATTCAATGTCGTCACCATAGCACGGAAGAAGATCCAACTAGTCGCCTTTCTGGACATCTTCTACAAGGTACAAACAGCATACAATTCCCACAGCCGAGATGTGTTTCGCAACAAAGCTCCAGTTACCTGCGAACAGGAGGTCCAAACCGAACTACACCCGGTTCCGTCCAACATCGACCACCAATACCGTTGGAACATTTGGGACCTTCGCCGGGAAGCAATCGAGCTGACCAACTTGCGCATGAAGCGGACCAGTTCCTGCCAAACGACCAAGGTCAAACAAACGCAAGTGTTCATGCCGAAGAACCAGGGCACCCAAACTAAAGTCAACCGTGCTACCGAGACGGACGAACGGCGATCGCGCATCAAGAAGGTCGAAACGGCACCCTCTCCGCTGCAGGTTTACAGCATGACCGTTGAAGATTTCAGTTCGGCAACGTTCAACCGAATCAAGAGAGCTTAGTAATTTTTTTTTTTCGATAGTGACGAGACTTGTAGATCGATATAATTGCAATAAAACAGAAAGCAAAAAAAATGTGTACATACCTGAAATATAGCCGACCAGATGCCGAACAGACCCTTGTGACGATCTTTCTGACCAACGTTGCACTTCAAGACGTCGGTCAGCCGAATTGGTTTCTTCAAAGAGCTATAGAACTGCAACAGGGACAAACAGGAGCGGACGTCGTTACCAGATTTGTCCGCCAATGCCATCATCGACGTCAAATCTGTTGAGATTTTTTCCTGCTTGGCGATCAGGAGAAGTCTGCAAAGTAACACAAAACTCTGAAAATATGTTCGCATTGCAAATACGACTGACGATGACCTACCTTTCGGCCAACCGAGCTACTTCCGTAGGGGGGAAATTTACCACAAAGGCAATCTGCCTCAACTGTCGCAAGGCGGGAACGTACATATCGTTACAAATACAAATGATCGGTCGCTTCAGCATGAACTTGCCAGGTTTATCTATTTTACCCTTCTTGCCTGCTTGCGCATTGGCCGTCCCGGAAATAAATTTCAATAGGAAATCAATGGTTGGGACCGGTGCTCCATCGATTTCATCCAGCACAATACAGTTAGGTCTGTTCTCCTTATTCAACAATGACTTCATCTGCGTTCCACTTTCCAAGGCAACTCGGAATGCTTCTGGGCTTCGATCGTCGGAAGCATTGACCTCTCGCACCACATAGCCAGCATGTCGTGCAATGGTATGAGCTAAGGTTGTCTTGCCCAAACCAGGTGGTCCACACAGCAGAGCCACCTTCTGCACTGGTCGGCCGTGTTCGTCCAGATCCGTATTCAAAGCGGAACGGGTTTTCCGCTTCCATCCTCCATTCGTTTCAAAGCGACCGGTTTTCTTGTTGAAACTGTTCAGCTGTTTGGGGTCGGTCTTCTGTTTCGGTTCACGACCGAAGACAACCTTATCCCAAAGCTTGAGCCACTGCAACAGACTCCGATTGGTCGTTTCATCCGAAAGCAAATCAACGTAACGTTTGGGTCGATACTTTTCCACCCACAGTTCAGTCGCTTTATCTGAAACGACAATGACGTCCGGATTTGGCTCAATGGCACGGCTAGGTGCATCCAAACGTTTAGCGATCTAAAAGATAGTTGAACTAAATTTCTTACGAACTACATCAAATCTAAAAAACTCACGATGTCGTTAGCTTCTCTCCAAACTCTTTCCTTGGCATCCCCCAGCAACCCATTGTAGCCGTCCTTTAAGCAATTGATCTCGTTTATTGAATTGGATTCGAACTCCTCTGAATGAAACCGCACGTAAACTCTTTCGTTGTCACTCCTCACGACAGTGGCAAATGGCCATCTGGAAAAGTAAAAATCGTTTCATTAATCTAAAATTTAAAATACGCCAAACAAAAAACATACTTCGGCAACGAATAGGACAAATTTTGCATCTTGAACCGATGCAGAGCTTCGGCCCGGGCCAACCCACCCGATTTGGTTGGATTGATTGCCGCCTGGAAATGCTTCCTAGCCTCCAGAATCTTTCCAATCAGCTCCATATCCATTTCCTCTTCTGTTTTGGTCTTCTTCGTTGTACCCTGCAGGCAAAAGTCGAACTCACTCCCATCGTCATCGATATCCTGGATATCCCCAAACAACGCATCCAAACGTCTCTTCCGAGGATTAAGACCAATGTTCTGAATCTCGGACAACGGATCAGCTCCCGTCGACTGCGATGTTCCCGGGAAGGGAGTAGAAGCTGTTCGTCTATAGTGCCCCTCCCCATTGAACAAGCGTTTGTTGACCGTGGTAGATTTCTTCGAGATGACCGAGAGTGCTGGACTTCGTAAGGGACTGTCGTCGTTGATTTGCGACAAACTAGGACTATCCAGCGGGGGACGGCTGTAGTTAGAGTGCGATGTCGATGCCCGTGGGAGTTCCGTTGGTTTTTCTTTAGACCTGGACGGTCCTGGTGTGGCTGGGGACACTGAAAAAGAAACAATTCAACATCAAAATACGCTATTTAGGATATTAGCAGATCTAAGATATTCACTCTCTACTTCCATGTCGTCCATCGCCTCTAGATCATCACCGTACATCAACTCGTACTCCTCTTCCTCCGTAGGAAACTGATCCATTTTTGCAGCTTTTTGCGTGGCCAATGTCTGATAAAGTGTGCTTATATTTAAAAACACAAAATTGATTTGATTCTAAAGTAAAATAAAATCAATCGAATAACGATACACTGTGAAACTACTGCGTAGGAATGTAAACATCAGACTGCCATCATCATTTCGCGCTCTTTCTTCGATTATACTGAAGTTCGGTATGCAGTGCACAGCGAGCCTAGCGACACCTTTTGGAATCGGCATGAAACTTGTAGATTTAGGAGTATTGATAAAAGCATGCATTTGGGCGCAAACACGGACGATACACAGCCGTTCAATCTCCCTCAGAGAACGAGTAACTTCTACTCAGATAAAAGAGAAATTTTAAAAAACTTAAAAAAATATCAAGAGAATAATTCTTCTTATAATTTCCATAAAATTCTTCCGAATTTCTTATAATATCCTCTTCTAAGGCTGTGTTCCATTTGGTGAATTTTCACTTAAATTTGACAGATGGAAAATTTTCAAATAAACCTGCTGTTGTACCAAACTTATTTCTGACAGACCAGGAATCAATTTTGCCAAACACCTTCTCAAAAATCGGCCGATCACCAACAGAGGCATTTTTGAACATCTTAATTTATTTTTGAAGTGTCAATTCTAAGTGAAAATTTTCCAAATGGAACACAGCCTAAGGCTATGTTCCATTTGGTGAATTTTTACTATTTGACAGATGGAATCTTTTGAAATAAACCTGCTATTCTACCAGACTTATTTCTGACAGGCAACTAATCAATTTTGACAAACACCTTTTCGAAAATCTGACGATTAACGACAGAGGGTTTTTCGATCATTTTAATTTATTTTCGATGTGTCAAATTCAAGTGAAAATTCATCAAATGGAACACAGCCAAAGGCTCTGAACCATTTGGTGGATTTTTTTTAACTTTTGGTTAAAAATTGACAGATGGAAAGTTATCGATTAAGCCTGCGATCCGAGCGTGTTATTCTGACCAACAAGAAGTTAAATTTTGACAACTGTGACTGAGGCTGTGTTCCGTTTGGAAATTTTTCACTCAAATTTGACTTTTCGATAATAAATTAAGATGTTCGAAAATCCCTCTGTTGTTGATCGGCCGATTTTCGAGAAAGCGTCCATCAAAGTTGATTCCTTGTCTATCAGAAATAAGTCTACTGGAATAGCGGGTTTATTTGAAAATTTTCCATCTGTCAAATTTAAGTGAAGATTCATCAACACAGCCTGAGTTCTGCTCGAAAACCGATCGATCGGAAACACAAGGATTTTCGAACTTAAGAAACAACTTTCGAAATGTCACTTTTAAATTCAAACTTAACTCGGCAAATGGTTCTCAGCCTCAGGATGTGTTCCGTTTTGTAAGGCTGTGAACCATTTGCCGAGTTAAATTTAACTCGTGGTTAAAAGTGACATTTCGAAAGTTATTTTCTATGTTCGAAAATCCCCGTGCTGTCGATCGACCGGTTTTCGAGCCACGGTTGTCAAACTTTAACTTCTTGTCTGTCAGAAATAACCATGCTCGGATAGCAGGGTTAATCGATAACTTTTCATCTGTCAAATTTTAACCAAAAGTTAAAATAATCCACCAAATGGTTCAGAGCCTAAATATTCACTTAATTTGACACTTCGAAAATAAATTAAGATGTTCAAAAATCCCTCTGTTGTTGATCAGTAGATTTTCGAGAAGATGTATGTCAAAATTGATTTCTTGTCTGTTTCGTTGCGTTGCGTTGCATGTGCAACGGAGTAACTCGTAGATTGCATACTGGCAACTGTCATGTATCAACTTTAACGTTCTTATTCTGGTTGCTTAAGGAAAACTATTTGGGAGTGAATAGTTCGCCAATCAAAATTCAGAACATGAAAAGCATGACAATTACCATTGCCGGCCACGCGCATCTTCTCCGTTATGGGAAAAGGAACGATATTGTTGATGTAGCATCCACTTACCGGGAGGCCAGCGACTCACCGACGCCCCCATAGATGCTACGGAGTTGGATAGTTTGGTAGGAGATGGGTCAGGATTCGCTTAAGCAGGCGATGCGACCATAGTAGGGTAGGATGGTGCAAAACGCACCGTTTAAGCAAAATCGTCAATTGCTGGCGTATGGAAGCTAAAATCAAGAAGAAAGTAATGGTGTTTGGTTCATTACCATGTTTTCTACGAAGATCAAGTGATTTCGAACTATAGAACGATGCATTTTCATGATTTTCAAGGTATTTTATAAATTGGTTCCAATATGATATCGGGGCAAAACGCCTGATTCATGGTGATCTGACGCCTGATGATTATTCCTTTATGTTACATCAGAAATAAGGTCGCAATAGAGTGTTAAGCTGTGATTCATTAAGTAAAACATCTAAAAAAATACGAAAAGTGAATTAGTTCAATTTTTTGCGATACATGCTGTTAAAAGCTTAATTTGAAGTCGACGATTTTAACAACTGTATCATATTTTGCACAAAATGCTATTTTCTAAGGGAATCAGTAGGTCAAAATATGATTTTATGATCAAGAATCAATTGTGAAACCTCTAGTTGAAAACAAACACAATCCGTTACCCGGAAAATGCATCTGAGGAAAAGTTATCGCTGTTTTTCTATAAGTGGGCATTTTACCCCAGGGGTGCATTATGGGCTGTTATCCCTTAATTGTTTTGTTCTCGAAGAGCTTGGGAGTAAACCCACGATCTTCTACTCAGTAAGCAAAAGCGGCAGCCGCCAAGCTAGCCGAGCTCCTAAATTTAAATTCTAATCCTGTTTAAAATAAAATTAAACAAAGAAAAAGAAACCGTCTCACCCGAATGATCTAATTTACTCCAGCCATGTGTGATAAAAACACTGATGCCCTTTGGGGGGCCACTTCTGAGGACGGTCGATAGTCGTGGAGATTAATTCGCACTCGCTGACACAAAACTATTCAAAACTCTTTTCACGTTAATTACAATATCATTAAAAAAAAACTTCTTAAAACGTGATAGATCTTAATTTACACTTATCCACACGCGAAATTTATTTTTTTTATTGTTACATTTAAAATATATGCGGAAACACATAAAATCAGTGCCAGCAAAAACAAAACCCCAACATCATCACCGCGTAAATAAGCTGAAATTAAAATTATCACTCGCGATGCCATAAATTTCTGGTCCTATGTCAAAATTGATTCCTTGTCTGTCAAGGGCCACGCACATTAGATCCGTTTCCGTTGCGTTGACGTAAATTTGACAGTTAGACAATAGATTTAGCTGTCACTTTGCCGCAACGCGTCCGATCCGGATCTAATGTGCGTGGGCCTTCAGAAATAAGTCTGCTGGAATAGAGATTATTGACGGTTAAAGGCCTAAGCGCAATGACAGCGGAAGCGGAACGGCAACGGCAGCGGAAAAGCCCGATCTGAGTAAGCCAACTTGTTGGATTGAAAACTTGTTGAAAACTTTTCATCTGTCAAATTTTAACCAAAAGTTTAAAAAAAAATCCACCAAATGGTTCAGAGCCTTAGCACAAACGAAATTCGTTTGTGCTAAAACGCTGTCCAGATTGGAGAGTTATAACGTGTTATAACGGTTGTCAAATAATTGCAACACAGAAACCACCATCAAGATAGCGCTATAACATGTTGTAACTCTGTAGTCTGAATGTACTATAATAGTACGTTCAGACTACAGAGTTATAACATGTTATAGCGCTATCTTGATGGTGGTTTCTGTGTTGCAATTATTTGACAACCGTTATAACATGTTATGACTCTCCAGCCTGGACAGCGTTTAAAACTGTGTTCCATTTGGTGAATTTTCAATTCGAAAATAAATTATGATGTTCGAAAATCTCTCCATTATTGAAGGCCCGATTTCCAAAAAGGTGTTTGTCAAAATTGATTCTGGGTCTGTCAGTAATAAGTCTGGTACAATAGCAGGTTTATTTGAATGTTTTCCATATGTCAAATGAAAGTGAAAACTCATCAAATGGAACACAATCTCAATTTCCTTCCAGAGACTTGGGTATATAATTTCATACCAAAACATATATAGTTTCATACCAAAGCTTATCGCATATTAGCTTTTTTTTTTTTCTTTTTTTTTTCTTTATTTTTGTGATTTTTAGCCGTAGGCTAGTTCATCACATAAAACGCATATTAGCTTTTTGCGTGCTCTCAACCTAGTGTTCTTCTTCTTTCCTTTATTTAACGTCGGTCTCTGTTCCGCAATCTAGTGCCAATCACCGACGGACATCGATTGCCATCCATTGACGGCAATCGAATGTGCAGGAAGGCAGCTTCCACACCTGCGTGGGATATCGCACCCATTCAACACACATGGGCCGGGACCAACGGCTTTACTTCCCTTCCGAAGGAAGACGTGACCAGAGATTTTTATGCCTCAGAAAAATCCCACCGACCTCGGCTGGGATTGAACCCAGACCCATTGGGGTGTTAGAAAGCAGTCACGCTTACCACTACACCACCGGCGCCGGCTCAACCTAGTGTTCTAAGGCTGTGTTCCATTTGGAAAATTGTCACTTATATTTGACACTTCGAAAATAAATTAAGATGTTCAAAAATCCCTCTGTTGTTGATCGGCTGATTTTCGAGAAAGCGTCTGTCAAAATTGATTCCTTGTCTGTCAGAAATAAGTCTGCTAGAATAGCAGGTTTATTTGAAAATTTTCCATCTGTCAAATTTAAGTAAAAATTCACCAAATGGAACACAGCCTAAGATGCACTTTCACAGTTATTAATTGGGTTCTTTAATTGTGATGATTTGAAAGAGCTTCGTTTTCTGAGCACAGCGATATTTTTTTTTCGAGCTTTCGATGCCTGTACCATTTTTGCATTAGCATAATTGGGTTGGGTTGAGGTAAATACATATTGGTTATCTGCATTAAAAATGGAACTGAAATCCAAAATTTCATCAATTTTGGTATACTGGAACTATTTTAAATAAGTACGATTACATTAGGGAAAATCACCATCTTAGCGCCCCTTGTTGGCACTTTTTATGGGAGCGAGCTATCAACGAATAGATTTAGTGTCAATGATCAAATATTTAAATCTTGATTTAAAAATCGAGATGAATGTCTACGGAAACGATAAAAATACCGTTGTGCTCAAAAAAC